ACCCTATACCAGTCGTCCGCAAGCTTGAACAGCAGCTCCGCAACAATGCCGACGACAATCGAGAGAAGCTACGGTCGCTTGTCGGGTACGAAATGCCAGGCCAACAAGGGATTAGAGATGGAAGAGGCTGACAAAATTGCAGGGCAAGCTATCGCAGTCTCCTCGACACGGCCGGTACGATCATCGATATGGAAGTGCGCATGGAGCAGGTGGAAAGTAGGCTTTCAAGAGTAGGGCAGAGCTGCAATTCGCGGGGCCTGGACAAGATCACAAACAACGCGGGAAAGATGGATACGCATACACGAAGTCGCGGTCAGTCTACAACAATGCATTGGCAAGGGACAGTGGGTTGACGGGCAATAGATGCGGAGCGCTATACATTCGCGGCCCAGCTCGCAGTCATGCGCAACGCGCCTGTGGTCATGACGCGCCTCATGAAAAGAGAGGGATCATATCTGCTCATTGCGAAAGTCCTGGTCATCTCAAGACTACTCCACAAGTCGCTCAGTCAATCCGACAACAAGGCGCCCATTGTCAATCAGCTGTGGGAGAAACTGCTGTCGGTACGGCGGAAGCTTCTCAGGAGGATTGACAAGCGCCTCTCGAACACGAACGGCGAAGCAGCCAGCCTGCTCGAAAGCATGTGTGCCTACGCGCTCGCGACGAGCTCCACCCCGACCGATGTCCTACACCATTTCCATAAGATGCGATTGGACAAGATGAACAGCGAGCTGAGGGCAGGAGGCGATGAGCTTGCGAAGCATGGCATTAGTGCGCTCAAGCTGTGCATTCAGACTTGTCTCGATACACAAACCATCTTTCCACGGCGCTTGGCAGAGGCTCTAGCAAAGCTAAAGGCGCAGCCGTTGATCCAGGACCCCGACGCCCGCGGTCTCTACGAGCTGAACCTCGATGTACATGATCGGTGGTTAGGCGATGAGGCACGGAACTACACGCCATGGCCGAGACACGACGAATTGCAGCGGCCGGAAGCAGAGCGGATAATGCACCGATGGTCAAAGGACGCTATTGCCGCTTTCCTCAAGGGTGTGCAAAAAGCACTAGAAGGCGAAGAACGACTCAAAGAGGTTGCAGACTTGAGGCAAGAGCTGATCGAGACCTGGATACTGTCTGGCTCGCGAATGGCGGGTGTCAAGTCGGCCAACGTTTTAGACGATCTACGAGACACGATGAACGATAAGCTTGAGGGCATAGTGCGATCGCGCACACATGGACTACAAACTGTCGTTACCGAACTGACGAGTCGACTGGACACAGTGGCTTCAACAGACAAGGCCGTGGCACCTTCGCTATGGGATACCACTACCAAGGCCTCTGATCTGAGCAACGGGGCACACAACTTCAAATCCGCTATACTTAACACCTACCAAGGGCGCGATGAGTCTGTCATAAGTGTAACTTCTGCCTTTGACAAGTGGATGGAGTCTATCCTGGAAGTCAAGGGTATCGTCAAGAGCATGAAGGAAGCACGATGGGACGATACCTTCCCAGACGATGTAGACGACGAATCCGACGATGAGCTTGGTGATTCGAAGCAAGCACTCCTTAGCGATGACGATCCAAAACTGCTCGAGGAAGCTACCCAGGAAGCCCTGAGCGAAGCCATGCAAAACCTAAGTCGGAGCTTCAATACTATCGTGAAGAAGTCTGATGGTGAGCAATCAATACAAAAGGCCACTTTCATGTTGCGCGTAGTCAGGGAGATCGGCGATCGGATACCGCGGTTACGCCTCCAAGATAAAGCCACACCTCTTGCGTCACCCTTTACGCTAGAGATTCTTCAACCTTTGCATACTACACTCGCGCTACGCGTCACGAGACCAAGCGTGGAAGCATACAAGACATCGCTTCAAGGTTCACTTAAAGGGAAGACGAACAGCCACATCCTGTGGGAAGGACACCCACCTCTACCAAGCCAGCCGTCACCCAGCGCTTTCAGATTCCTGCGGGGTCTGAACAAAGATATGGGCGCGCTGGGTAGTGATGCGTGGGCGCCCGGCAGCGTTGAGGTACTGAAAAGGAGCGTCGCCGACGAAGTAGTCAAGACAGTTCAGGAGCATCTCGACGCCATCAGCGCGCCTACGAAAGATCAAAGCCCTTCTGTCCAGAAGAAAGACGAAGACAAAGAAGACGATGAAGGCCCAGACCCCAAAACCACGGACGATGGTGAGAAAGCAGACGTCACGCCATCATTACCAAACCACAAGGAAGCAAAAGAACAGAGAGTCAAGCAACTGCTCTTCGATCTTCTCTACATCCAACGCTTCGTTGGTGACACAGGTGCAGACGATGCCAAACTCACAGCACTGGTACAGAAAACCGACCTAGTGGAAATGGACGAGGTTGCTCTCAACAGGCTGAGGAAGAACGCGGCGGATTATGCGAAGAAGACGTATCTGCTCTTCGCACTGCTCGCGTAGATAGTCGTAGACATGTACAAATGAGACCATTACTACTCCTCACCCTGCACTTCTATTGAGCTGATAACATGATGCTAGCTCTCCGCAATCTGCACTCCGCGGAGACTGGGCAGATCGAACTTGTTTAAAGCTCAGAGCTAACGGCCATGGTTCCCGTGTGGAAACCCCACTTGGTTCGAACGCTACGAAGGGTCCGGTGCAAGTCGTCGAGTAAGCAACAGGCCGGTACATGCTGTATTGCGTTTCTAGTGCCTATGCTAAGGAAGTTACATGCGGTAGAACTGTATGCCGAAAAAAATATATGTTCAAACGCCATGCATGATGGATATCTCAGGTTACAAAAGAAAAGATGCTCCAACCCAGCCCTCCTTCTCCCCTCCTCTCCTCTCCAACAAATCACACAAGGCGTCATATGCAGTTGTGGGCTCTACGACACATCCATACTATCCCCACCCGCCCTCAACCCCTCAATCTCCTTGCGCAGCAGCTCAATCTCCTTCTCCTGCGCCTTCATCTTCTCCAACGCCATCTCAATCAATCGCGCTTTATTGACCGTCTTCTTCTCTCCCGGCATGGACCCCTTCCCACTCCTCACATCGTCATCGGCACCATCCATGCCCGTCACCTTCTCGCTCCCATCCTCGCCATCTTTCCCTCTCATAACAACAAAACACGTAGTCCCGCTCCCGAACGTGACTTCGCCGTCGAGTAAGAACTCAGCTAGATCAACCATGGCGATTTTCATGCGGTCGCGCCGGGCTTGTTCGGCGGCGCGGTGCGTGGCGCGCTTCATCATTACGCCTGTGGCCATGGCGGTGCTGAAGTGCAGGCCCATTTCGAGGTGTTGGCCAGAGGAGATTAGTTCGTAGTTTGATTTGGAAGCTAGGAGATCGGCTTGGGGGGTTGTTACGCCACCGGCGCCTGGGAGGAGTTAGTTGTATACTAGGTTTTGCGTTTGTGTTGTTTGGGTGAAATTGACGTCACGAGACTTGATGACGAAGAGAGAGGCATACCATTGCTGTCCGCAGGTACTATATTACTGCTTCTTCTTGCGATGGCGACTTTCTTCGGTGTTGCGGATGATGCATGGGATATCGATGATAATGTGCTCGCGGTGTCTGCTGCTATTGACGGAGATCTTATCGAAGATACTGTGGGTGATGTGACAGATTGCGTTGTTACTGATGGCGATTTCAATGGGCGGATGGGATGTATCGGTAATTGCACGGGGTGTTGCTGTGGCTGTGTTTGCGGTGCTGGTTGCATTTGCACGTGCTGCATCTGCTGTACGTGTTGTTGCTGTTCTTGTTGCTGTTGGGCGCTCTCCCTAACCGGACTATATCTCCTTCTCTTTTTGAACAACTGTGGCCATGTTCTACTCAGCGGACCCCGATGCCCGCCTTCATTTCTGTCGTTACCGGGCGGTCCACTCGGCTGAGGATATGGCTGCATGATTCATCGAGCCGCAACACCAGACGCTTTGCGGTGGATGTGATTTTGTAGAAGTCTCCGACAAGCGGTAGTCGTAGCAACAGTGTACCAGATGACAGAGGTGTGCCTAATGCGGGTTGGATGTCAGATTGGGCTACCACCCACAAGAGGCAACAACAACAATGACGGGGTATCGAAACAAGGCGCCAACAAAGACCAGAGCGAAAGCACGAAAGCGACGGGTCCAAGGCTCTGGGGATCTTGAGCTTGTTCAGCTGGATTGCGCACGTACAGCCGCGTAGCAGGCGGGTACAGGTGTTATGCGTGAGCCGTCGAAGTCGGCCTCATCCATGGGTCGAGAGCAGCGGTCGCAACAAGGCGTAGTAGACGCGCGATCTGGAAGGAATTCCGCGCATGCTTGCACTGGGCCGTTAAAAGCAAATGGCGTCCGCAGCGCGACTGATTGTGAGCGAAGCTTTTGCTTGGCGCAACCCAAAGACGTGGTGTTGCTGCTGACTTGGAGGTGCGTGAAGGCGTGGCTGAGCCAACCAAACCTCGCCCCGTGAGCACATGGGCTTGGCGCGTCGACGCATGCTAAAGCGCCCCTTGTCTCGAACCCAGGACGCCGAGTGCTTAGTTGCCACTCTTACTGCTCAGCGCTGCAATCAAGTGACATTCCCTCCGTGCGCAGGGTCGAGCCTCCGCTACGGAAGCTACTCCAGCCTACCGAGACGGAACGTCGCGGAGGTCACCTTCTATATTCGGAGTCGTCGATGAAACAGCCGATAGCTTACATGTAGTCGTGGGGATCAATGAGCGCTGCACAAGAACACACGTGCTGGAGATCACTATAGAAACATTGGAAGTGCTGTCGCGGCTTCTGCCGGCCCACGATATGGTGGTCAGATCATGATGATCGAGGTCGTGCTCAAAGTATCATCCATCTAGCGATTCAGACAAGATACCCCGCATATTCTGCTAATGCTATTTGGCTGGACATCAAGGTGTCTGCACGCACATGTTGTTTCTTTCGCATTGTGATACGTGGCCAGAGGAGCAATTCCTGTCGCATTAAGATGGGAAAGTTGTATTCGTTATCAGCATCATCCAAGTCATTCTCACATGTCGCTAATCCAAGCTGTTCGTTCTACTGGTCATCTCGTGGCTTTCGTAGCTTCGCTTGCCTTTGACCTGAACTCCGGGCACATACTCCAGATCCTCGTCCTCCAGATCGGTATCCAAGTCCTCCTCACTGAGCATCTTGGGATTTAGTGCAAAGGCGCCTTTCGGCACAAAGGTACTCGTCAAGACCAGCACACTGATGATGGTGAACTGTACAGCAGCCACGTTCAACACAGCCCCGTGTATCTGTTCGTTGTGGCGATCGGAAACGCGGTCGATGTAGGTCCCGAGGGAAACGGATGCGATCGCGTACGTGACGATGTATGTGCTGTAGAGGAACGCCATGACGGCACCGAGTGCAGATACGTTCTGAGTCTTCGACTCGATGCGCGCTAGTGATGCCTGAATGTATGCAGCGAGCGATACGTCGCCGGCAGCCCACCCGAAACTGATGGGGAGGAACGTCGCTCCCACGATCCAAGCTTGAGCCACGTCGTTCTTGGGTGGGTTCCAGAAAGGTAGATACCAGACTATCAGGAGAGCCAGGGCGTCTAGCCGAAGCCATGGTATCGGAGTGTGCACCAAGTTCGTGAACATGAATACAAACAGCGCTCCTAGCAGTTCGCCGAAGTTTGAGCCTCCCACTATGATCTGTGACCATGCCGAGTTTCCGAAATAGCGGCGTGCTACGGCAGGAGCGATTGCGTTCTCGAGGTATCGGTGCGCATAAAGCGCGACAGCATATCCGGGTAACAGCCAGATAAACTTGCGGTGTTTGAAGATGATCTTAGCACCGGTTCCAACGGACTCGAAGAAGAGGTAGAATCCGCCTATCACGGCCTTGACATAGGTTGGCTGACTCTCCAAGATCAGAGATCTGCCTTCCTTCGGTATGCTGGCTTCCTCAATGAAGTACCAGAGTATGGATGCGGCGGCGAAGAATATGGGCGTGATAATGAAGCTGAAGTTGTTGCCGAACCGGGGAATGAGCGCAAGTGCTGTGCAAAAGGCACCAGCAGTGCCGCTGATCTCGTAGAAGATATGGACCAGAGAGTCCATACGTCGAAGCTTTTGGATGTTGCCGCCAACCAAGTCGCGCGGAATGACTCGCCGGATCAATTCGACCATGCCGTAGACTATACCACAGACGCAATCTAGCGTTCGTCAGCAACATGGAATCAGATGAGAACAAGTACCTGCTGCTCTTTACAGCACCCGCCAGCGACAGCTCTGGCGGCAGCAGACATGAGAGCAAAGGTGACCGACATATCGAACCGTTAGGTAGACTGGGGCTATGAACTTACAGATGGGGATCATGGCGTCGGTATCATAGTCACCGTAGTAGCTGAAGTCATCCTTTGCCCATCCGCGCGGTGCGAACTTGCCGCCAGTTGCAGCGTCTAAGATGAGCAAGACGCTGCTCATGAAGGCGAATATAAGCACTGCACATGCCAGAACGTTCTTCGTCGGATATCTTTTGATGAGTGGCGCGATCAGTATAGATCCAACACACTGAAAGGCTTGATTCAGTCCAGTCAAGACGCCGACACGTTGAAAAGTAATGGAGATGTGCGTTTTCTTCTCGAGTTCATCGTATCGATTAGTCGCAAGCGCAATGACAGATCCGTTGAATGCCTCGAGGCCGAACTTGTACATCATGATGCCGGCGATGTAGATGCCGATGTTCCGTCGTTCGACAGGAGTGTAGATGTTCCATGTCTCGCGCATGACAGCGATAGGCCGGACCATGGTGACAGTCGGGGCACGTAACGTGCGGTGGTGTTGCTACGGGAAGAGACAGCTAGCCCGCAAATGCGGAGAGACCTGGTTTATACGTCCACGATGCCGGAACGCTGGTGTTGAGGAATGGACCAATTAGGTGAGTGGGCTATCGCATGCGGTACGCTACGGCGTCCCGTGGGTGTTCATAGAAAATGACGCCCGCATCGGTGACGAGGAGGCATTGCAAGAGCCCTGTCGTTCGTGTTAATGGAAAAGACGGCGTGGAGCGTTTGCGAGCCAAGTTGCACGGGCATGACCCCAGTCGTTGTGAGGACTTGGCGCGCCCGTCAAAAGCTGGCCATTCAGGTGACCCACGTGGGCCGACAGCTGGACCGCCTGGGGTAAGCATCTAGGCCGATAAGAAATGCCAACCCGAACAGTGCGTTGCAGACGGACAAGGTTCATCGTTCAGCTGTAGTGGCTGTCACAATGCGTGTATTAGATGTGGTATCGTTACTTGTGATAAGGCGAACGAGGTGTGGTGAAGATGAAGCCCTAGCAAAGCACCTTGCGCAATGTGCGGTACGCCTCCGTTCTCTTGACAGGTCCATTCAGTACCGAAAGATGCGCCGGGGTGGAGATAGGTATCCCGCGCATGCAAACTAATGTCGCTTGTGAGCGGCGCGTTATCCTAGGTGCGCATCAGTGGAGGTGAGACGTCACGGAAGCAGTCAAGTCAAGTCAATTGACATGGTGTAAAGGGTTCCTGCATTAGAACCAAAAGCCAGTAGACAAGGGTACACTGGGTGCTCGTTTAGATCTCATCTGTTGAAGTCAGTCTGCTTCTTAGACTGTAAGCTGGAAGACGAAGCTGACCTGTCTGTGCCTCCAGCTTCCGCACCAGTAATCGACAGTCGCTATCTTTGGTACTAGAGGTATGTCGTAGAGATGTCAGAGACCGATTTTCGGATGCTAGTCTCCAGGCAGTAATGCCATGCCTTCAGGGTGGTGCACAGTGGCTATGGGTATCGGAAAGGATCATAACGCCAAATAGCAGACTCGCAGAAGCTCAATCCGAGTCGTCCTCCCTATGCCGCCTGGCTTCTTTAGCTCTGGCAGTCCTTTCTTCGTCTTCGGCCTCCCTCTTGGCTAGACTGTCGCGCATTCTCTCCTCTTGCTTCCTCCAGTGACTTCCTTCCTCATAGTCTGCGCTGATGCCCAGGGCTTTGCGCAACCTCTCGCTCTCTTCTGCCTTTGCTTTGGCAAGGTCGTGGACTTGGTGCGACTTGAGGCGCTTCGCATTAGGACCGAGATCTTTGCCGTCTTTTCGTTCCTGATCGAGTTTGCGGCGTAGGCCTTCGCACTGGTCGTCAATCTCGTCTTCGTCGACGCCTTCGTCTTCAAGCTTATCGCGCAGCTCAAGGACCTTGACTTCGATGTCGCGCTTTGCTTCGTGTTCGAGGATCTCGGCGTCTGGCTGTCTTGGGCGGTGTTTGGCGTGTTCCCAGTCTTTGGGGTAGGGCTGGATCTTGTCGCGCGGTCGAAGGAGGGATCGGTTCTTCTGGACGTAGCCCGAGGTTCCGCTACCTCTTGGCGTGGTGAGGCCTACGTTGTCGGCCATGATGCTTGTAGAGGTGGTGGGTGGAGATGGGTGTCGCGTTGGGGCGTGTCGCTGGCGAGACTGATGGATGGTTTGCGGAGAGCTCGGAGGTGAGCACGGAGGCCCAAGCGCAATGATGGAATGGCTCGCCCCACCAAAACTTTACCCTTGGTACTGCGCAGACTCACCCAGAGATGGAGTCATTGCCTTGCGATATAAAACTTAAGAGATTTCGCTCTCATCCCTTCTCACACAATTTACGACCACCATGACTACGCAAGACGCCACAAGCGACGATACCACCTCAGGGCCGGTTGAGGTGGGGTACAGAGAACTGCCCTTCCCACCAGTCACCAAAGAGCACATCCTGAACTGCTCATATCACAAATGGCATCCCAAGTTGGTCTCTACTCCTTCTCGTTCTCAGATTCTCCTCTAACCGCAATAGATACCGCGCCGTAACACCCAAAGCGCGTCTCATCCCCCTCCCACCCGCCTTCCTCGACTACCTTCGATCAGACGGCATCATCCTCCCTCCCGAAGAGAACGACAACCCTTCGTGGTCAGACAATGACAGCGGCATATTCTCGGGTGCGGACAACAATGACGACGATGAGGACGAAGGTCAAGACCCGAGCGCCAACTGGCGCGACACACACGAAGCCATCGAGCGGACCATTGAGGAGCTGGGCGGCAAAGTCGCACCCAAGCTGAACTGGAGCGCGCCAAAAGACGCGACTTGGATAGCCGCAACCAACAGCATGGAGTGCCGGACACCAAACGACATCTACCTGCTGCTGAAAAGCAGCGACTTTGTCACACACGATCTGGCGCACGCCTTTGACGACACTGCCAACCAATCTACAACACCAGACCCGGAGATTCCATATCATCTGGTTCTGAGGAAGTGGATCACGCTGAATCCGAGTGTCGAGTTCCGCTGCTTTGTGCGGGATCGCCGGCTGATTGCCCTGTGCCAGCGAGATCTGAACCACTTTGACTTCTTGTTCAACATGCAGGACAAGCTGCGAGATACCATTCAAGACTTCTTCGACGCGAAACTGCGCGACACATTTCCCGATCCCAACTTCACCTTCGACGTATACGTACCGCCGCCGCACGACAAGGTCTGGGTGGTCGATTTCAATCCCTGGGCTGTGCGGACTGATCCTCTGATCTTCTCATGGATGGAACTCCTTACTATGGAGGTACCCGACGCAACACCTCTTGAGGAAACGACTGTGCGTTTGAAGATCGCTCAGCCGGAAGACAAGGGCGTGCCAGTTGAGGCAGCTAGTGACACTGTAGACGATGATGAAGACACAGATGACGACGACATTGAGGAGCTATGGCAGCCAGAGTTCCGCCTCGTACGGAGAGATGACCCCGAGGCATACGGCTTCTCAACTCCACAGTACAGTGCGCATAAGCTTCCCAGAGACGTAGTAGATGCAAGTAGCGGCGGAGAGGGTCAACTGCGAGAATTTGCGATGCAGTGGGAACAAGCGCAGAAGTTGGCTGAGCAACAAAGAGCGGAAGATAGTGAGGATGATTAGCTCCACGCACCTACCGTAGCGTAAGGGAGGAGTCATAATTGCATACATCTTGGCGTAAACAAACAGACGTTTGCAAAATCGTGATTGGGCGTCTGTGGAATGTTGGCCAGCCTCGTCGCGTGAGGCTCTGGGGCCGCCACCGGGACTCGCGGTGACTCGCTCCTGCAGGGCATCTGTTTGTTTCACCGCTCCACACCCCACATCCATGATTCGGCGACATCATCCTTCACTCATCCTTACAACAACACGTCGTTGGACACGTTGTTTTTACTCTTGATCAACTTTTGCTACAATAAATTCCGCTAGAGACCCATACATTTGGCACCATTGAGTACCACAAATTTTCCACGATTACGATTACAACATGAGTGTGACGGATAGCAGCAGCTACAGCGGCTTCTTATCGATACCCACTGAGATACGATGCCAAATCTACGACTACCTCCTCACCGAACCGCACGCAATCACGATTAGTGCTGGCTACACTACGTGTTTTGGCAACAGGATACAGGACCGCGCCCGGAAGACGGAAGTTCCAGGTCTACCACTCGATCTCGCGCCGCTGGCACGCCGCCACCACGATGCATCTCTCCTCTCAGTCGCGAAGCCACCCACGATTGCCGTCGAGAATGGACACATGGAAGACATTGAGGGCGAGAAGCTGGGCTTCCCCGCTGCGGTGGCGCTGATGTTGACGTCCCGATTGATCAATGACGAGTTGAACGATTGTGTTCGTAGGCGGAGACATATCGCGCAGGCGCGTTCTACTGTTGATGCCGACGGAGTCGTTCACGACAACGAAGAAGACCAGGAAGGCCTGTCACTTTACGTGTCTTATCCTTACGGCGTCTTGGTATTGAAGCACCAATACCCCTACCTGTTGAAACAAGCGCGTCGAGTCTACATCTCTGGCTACTACACACCCCAGCAAGAGAGCCAGCTCGATCCACGAGATCTCCAAACAAGCTACGATGAGCGCTTGACGCCATCCAGCAGCTTTGCAGCACAATCGTTCACCACCCCATCATCGGGACCAACAACAAGCTTCACGCGCTCCTCCTCCCGACGAACAGCCCGCCACGGCGTCTCCGTCAACGCCTCGCGCCCGCGCCTCCGTCTCGACCCTCCCCTCCCTCGCGAATCCCGCCAAACAACCAGCATACATACAACCTTCCCTTCCTTTTCCGCCTCCACCTCAGCCGAAGCCCCCGCCGCTCTCGCCCACCTCATCACGACCCTCTTCCCCAAACACACCACGCCCCTCACAAAACTTACAACCCGCATCCTCTTCCCAGGCGAAGACTCGTACGGCTCCGTCTGGGGCGACGACAACAGCCCTGTCTCGCACATCCTGCGCAGTATCCGCGGCGGCAAGATTGATATGAAGGTCCTGAGAGGTAGTCTAGGAACGGGCCTGAGGCTGACGGCTAGGCCGAAGCCAGAAACGAGGATTGTGAGTACGAGTTGGGTTAATTGGAAGAAGGGCGATGTTGCGGCGAGGGGTGCTGCGGGAACGGTGAGGAGGGCTGGTGGGAGGTTGGGTGTGAGCGATTTGGATGCGTTTTTGATGGGTGAGGAGGGGGCTTAGGATGACTTTGACATCTATGGAGAGGGAAAGGATGTTTGTGGAGGACCGGCATGGCTACTGTGTAGCATGCTGAGTCGCTCAGACCATTGCCTATATGATTTTCTTTGTACGATACATTCACCGATATATTTTTTATTTTTACTCATACCAGCGGTTGACCAGACCATATGAACAGTCTGCTGAGCCTTGGCTTTCTCTCTTCAGTTCTGGGTATCCCTTCTCTTGAGTCTTTGTGCCTCAACACGTGCATTCACGCAATCTTCAAACGATGATGGCAGTGCTA